GGCAAAGGCTCGAATACTCGTTACATGAAAATGAAGGAAATGGTGAAGAACATGGATCTAATCGGCAATCACACTGAAGTGAACATGACACAAAGGCTCAATCAAGTCATAATCGACCTGGATTTCTTCATTCGGCCAATTGTGCAGGCTAGTAATTCTGCCGATGCTGATATATTTAAATGAAGATAGCCTGCATAAACGCATACATTTTTCATTTCATCCGTGCCTTGCACTCTACTTTTTATTTATCTATTTATTTACAGGAATTTCCCGAGAAGTCAACATTCCGTCTGCATAATTTGGAAAAGAAGTACGACACAATGTCTTTAGACGAGTTGATGGCTTTGGAAGGATTCAGCGAGAATGTGAGATTTAATCCTATGCGCACACACTTTCATGCACTAATTCGCACACGTGTGCATACGAACACAAACACTAATTTAGACCTTTGACACATATAGACACAATAATCACACACTAACTCACATGCACATTTGTTATGTAAAAAGCTATGTATATTGTTTCACTCTGGTATAAAAACTGAGATAGTGGAAGATCAGCTGAGGAGCCAGACCGCCTTCCTAACTCACGCTCATCTGCTTCAGATCGACTGGCACAAACTCGTATCCGATCTGCTGGGCATCAGCGCCGACCCCAAGACCATTAAGTTGCAGGTCTACTTCAAAGACAGGCTGCAGAGAATCATCGAGCACGTTAACGAAAATATTTACGAGTAGGTTCAGCATCCGTCGACATTGTCTGGAAACAGGTCGTGATCTGCAGTAGAATGATGATGATAATGGCAGTAAACTATAACGAACTATCTGAAGATGTGAGGCGTGAAAAATAGTGTGAAAAATATTGGGCAGGAGACAAAAGGTAATATTCCCGTCTACACTGACCACCTCGAGCTTATTCGTCGTTTCATCGTGTTTCAGCGCATCCAACATTCATGCCATGTTCATGATGCTGTGGAGTGAACAGCTGTACAACGACTTCGTCGACCCCCTCGGGGTTGCCATGGGCTCTCCCGACTACTGCCTCCGCATCGTCAAGAATCTCATGCACGACTTCTCGTCTTACCTCTACCTGGAGGCCTTGGGACCCAGCCTCGACGAGTATCAGCAACAGGTGGCGTGGCCATTCCTCCTTGTATCAGTGACTGAAACATAGACTGGGGGTTTCTCTCTTTATTTGCCTCTGCATACATGTAGAGGCGGACGATCAAGCAAGTCAAAGCAAAAATAAGGACATTTACTGCAAAACTGATTGTTGCAACTAGAACATCGTCCTTCGACCCTCCACTCGAGAATCCAGGCTCACCGATGTCATTTTAACATTGCACTGAACCTTCGCAGATCAACACGATGGTCCGACTGACGAAGAAGACGGCCGAAGAGCAACTCCTTCGAGCGCATCCTTCCTCGCCCAGCAACTTGCTCGTCGAGAAGCTGCGCAAAATGACCGGCGAGACGATGGACCTCCAGACCTCAAGAAACGTCCTGGCACAGAGCATGATGGGGGTAAGATAGCATGAGGCAATTTGAATCTAAAATGAAGAACATCAGCGTTGCATAGACTCTAGTCTCTGCTTCTCTGTATGAAGAAAATTGATATTACATAACATAATAATGATGATTTTTATGATAATTGGGATAACAATTTAACAGTAGTAATGACAAAAATGGCGATAATGATTGTACCAACAGTTATATTATTCTAAAAAAGATAACAGTGGTATTAATGATAATAATGATGACAAGAACAATGTAATAACCAGTGATAATAACAATAATAATTATAACATTAATGATAATAATAATAATAAAGAGGATGCTAAAAATAATGAAATGAAAATGACAATAATGATAGAGATAATAATAATAATATTACTACTAATAAAAAAAATAATGATAATAATGTTAATAATAATAGTAGTATTAATGGTAATGATAATACTGATGATAGTAATTATGATAACAATAATAACAGTATTAGTAATAGTAACAGTAATAATAATAACACCAATAATAATAATAGTAATAAATAATAATAATAATGATAATGGAAATAATAATCATTAGAATTTTCCATTTTTGTCATAATATTAATGATAATGGTAATACTAATTATAGTAATAATAATAATAATAATAATAATAATAACAATAAACTACTACTTATAATAATAATCATCACCATCTTAATTATATTAATAATGGTAAAATAACAATGGTAATAGTAATAACATCAAAATTGATGAAATTAACGATAATCATGGTAATAAGAACAGTAATAACGAAAATGATAATATACGTAATAATAATATAGTAATAATGATAATGATAATATACGTAATAATGATATAAAAAATAATGATATTGATAATGAGGATAATAATAATTATAATAATAATGATTACAACTAGAAGCACTCAGAGGGCGCATACCTCCGCCAAGGCAATAGGGGTAACTGATTTATCTTACAAAATCCTGGATTCAGATCATTTAATGACATCTAAATTGGGCTAAGACACACTTCTGGCAATAAATTCATTAAAATCTGTTTAACTTTTCGAGTTATCCTGCTAAACCAACCAACAAACTCACCCTTCCATAAACATAACGTCCTTGGTAAAGGTAATAATAATGAAACAATAATGATGTTGATACCGATAGTAATATAAATAATGATAATGATAAGAACGACGATGTTAATAAGAATATTGGTAATAATAAAACAATGATGATATCAGTAATCATAATGATAATAATGATAATAATAATAATAGTGATAATAATAATCAAGATAATAATAATAATGATAATATTAATGATTATAATGATATCAAGAACATCAATGACAACGCTAGTAGTAATTAGTCTAATGTTAAATGTGGTACTACTACTAATGATGAAAGTAATGATAAAATGATAATAATAATGATTACAATGGTAGTGATGATAATAATGATGATGCTGATAATAACGGCAACAGATATCATGATGTTTGAATATTTGAATTATCGTTATTCTTGTTATCGTTTCAAAAAATATTGGCAATAAATAATAAAGATAATAAAAAAATCGTAATATGAATATTTTCATATTGTCACCATTACCATAATAATCATCATCATATCATGATGAAGGTAAGTGTGATTAGTGCACACCTTTTTTTTCTCCAACCCTCGTCATTGTTACCAAATCTTTAAAAGCGATAACAAACCTGTTTTATCTTTCTTGAAGGTGAATATTACTGGGAACTTCATTGAAGACTGCCGGACACTCCTGCTGCGGTACAGATCTCACTTATACAGTATGTATACAAGAGGTCCCTCCAATCCGGAAGTTATGTAAGTTGCCTGCGCAGATGGGTATGCTGCTATGATTATGGTTTTGATTGTTTTTATTATATGCTTAATATCATTATCATTGGTATAATTATTGCCATCATTGCCATATTTTCTATTTTCATTTTTATCATTTCTATTACTTTTATTATCATTATCACCAAAATTATTGTCCTGAAAACTATTAGCATAATCATTTTCAGTAAAGTAGTATGGTTAATAATCATTATTTTTTTATGTGATTTTGGAATATGCCTTCGAGTGCACACACACACACACACATATCTCTCTCTCTGTATATAGACCTATTTATATGCTTAATATTTTGACTTGTTTATTGCTTTATCTACCGTTAATTTTCGACAACAGTTTTCAATGGATATCCAATTTGACTGATACTTGACCTTTCATTCCATTGGTTTGCCAAAGGATTTTGTGAGTAATATATCCACAATTCATCGAAGTGAAGACAGTAAGTTAGCTGCACAAAACACCTTTGTCAATTCTACCACACAAATTCGAACTTTGGTTCAGCACGTGTGCTTGTCATTGGATGCGTTTAGAAGCAAGGCCAGCCTTCAAGGTCAGTTCTTACCCAGAGCGCCTGGAAAATAGGGGGCGTTCGTGCTTTAATCACCTATCTTGTTGCAGGTGGAGTCAGTTCCTTCAACCTTACAAAAGTTACGGTACCTACGTCTACGCCATGAACAAATTCTGTGAGTTTTAACTACTCTCCTTTTGCATAAAATAACAAGATATGATAAACTAAACTGTGTTCAACAAATTATGCATATAGAATTGCATAAATCACTAGATAGCGTTCACATATTGCGAGCAAAGACGCGTACAGTGTTCTCATTTCCGGCCATTGTCTGACTGGAGCTTCCCTTGCAGTGATCCCGTACGGTGCCATGGCGCCGCCGCTCTTCTATGGCGACGACGTCCCCCATTACATCAACTTCGCTGGCATTGGACACATGATCGCTCACGAGCTCATGCACAGCTTTGACGGCACAGGTGAGCACAGAGCCCTTTTTGTGCACATGCACCATTGTAGAGGCGGGATTAATCGATTAAAACAATCGTCCACACCTTTCACTAAAGAAAAATTCCAATCGATTTTTTTCGACGAGAATATGTAAAATGATTACTCTTGGAATCAGATCACGTGAAATTATAATTTTCAGAGAAAAAACAGAAAAATGGTACACAGTTACCATGCGACTCCACCACTACACCATCTCCCTGTCATTCCTCCCATACAACGTTATTTTGTGATTCTTCTACATACCACCAACCATCTATTCCTCCACCACATCATCTTCAATAACACCCTCACTCTAACATTCTTCCAATGCACCACTATATTGCCATTACTTTCTGACAACACCCTGCAACTCTAACCACACAATCATTCTATAATGTCGTCCCTCCTCATTGCCACCTACTCATCACATGATCCACACACACAAAACATTTTGTTTCCTGTATGGTGATGTCCGAGTAATAGTTCTAGGTTTGATTGAAAGGCTGTCTTCACTATAGAGGCTATATCAAAGGCACAGAAAGAAGAGAACAGGCGAGAGGGTAAACATGAAATGGCGTGACGTCTTCTTTGTTCTTCTTGTTGCCTCTCCTGACGTCTTCTTCCCTTCACTTGTCGTCTCTGCTCCTGTTCCTGAAGTCGCTCCTGGCATCTTCTTTCTTCCTTCAATAGTCTTCATTTTTCCTCACGGGATCGCCTTTCCTCCTCTTCTACCCATCTGCGGTACTCTGAAGAGATTCGTGACTCCTCGAGGTACTTTATGAGGTGAAGAAAATCTGAGGGCATGTGGTGAGGCGTGTGAACTGAGGGGAGATCGAATTTGTTGTGGCGAGGTTGCGGTTCGGAAGGACGGTCCATCGTGGCCGTCTGGGTGGCCCAGGGGTGGCCCAACTACTCCGTCCATTTCTTGGTCACCATGTGGGGTGTCTGCGCGCTCAGGAGATCGTCGTGGAGAAGACAGTCTTCTTCACATACCTGTATGCTAACTGATAAAAAAGCACGGTTGTTTCATACAATTTGTGGAGTTCCACAGTGCGTCAATGTGTGGAGGGAGCGCTCGAGCGTGTTAGTGCATGTGTGTTACTCGGGTGGGGGCGGGGCTTACTGGCTTCCGCGCACCGAGAGCGGCAGTGTCTCTCGAGACGTCGCTGAAGAAAGAATCTATAGCAAGGTGCAGTCTGTTGGCGGCCGCTAGGAAGCGCACGTCGGGCCCAAGACATGAATAAATGCACCAAAAACACTGCACACACACTGTCACTGCACTAAACACTCGTTAAACGCGCGTTACACTGCACAAGCACCGTCACTGAGTTGAAATCGCCGCGGATGGCGTCGGTTGAGGAAGCAGGGAACCGGTTGCCAGTCTTTTTCTTTGTTATTTAACCTCCCTGGTTCACCTTTACGAGAATACTCGCTGCGGCATGTATGGTGATTTCCGAGTAATAGTTCTAGGTTTGATTGAAAGGCTGTCTTCACTCTAGAGGCTATATCAAAGGCACAGAAAGAAGAGGCGTGTGGAGGTCGTCCGCACGGCTTGAAGGAACAGGCGAGATGGTAAACATGAAATGGCGTGACGTCACTGTCGTCGCCAAGGGAACACAGGGATACGTGATATAATGAGTATATATATAAAGGTTTCAAGAGCAATGTAATAGTATATACAACAGGGAATAATCTGTACAATATCAACAATATGTTCAATGGTATATAACACGTATCTACATTTCCTATAGTAATTGTTATTCGCGCTTCAAAAAAAATTCAAACATCGTCCACCACTACAGCACTGGCTGTCCAAATGGGCTCCAAGAGATCTAGGGTATATTTGCACAAGGCCCCCAGGCCCCGATGGGCTCGTGGGCTGACAGAAGGCCACTAAGTGAATCAGTTTTCCTCATCAATAAATAATGCCTCCCCTCCTCCCACAGTGTTAAAGGGCCGGGGTCAACTCGTGCGTAGGGCCCCGAAGGCTAGAAAGGGCCCTTGGTGTGCACATTCGATAGTTCGTACTAGGAGATACAACATATGCTTATTTTTTTGTTATATTATAAAATATTAATCTGTATGTAATTCTGAATCTTGCAAAATGCAAGGCAACTGGAAAAGAGGATTTTTCCGTAGAAGAAAATCGTGACACTCAAGTCGTATAATAGAACTTATTATTCTTGCTGACATTTGAACAAAGTGTGACGTTCTCCGCAGGTATCTACTACGACGGCGAAAGAAAGAACCAGGACAAGATTCCAGAGAGCCAAAAATATTTGCCTCATACTGAGTGTCTGTCAAAAGAGCTCATTCATCCCCAGCTTGTTAATACAACTGACCTTGACACAAGCTTCACGGTCAGTCTATTACCCTTTGTTTGTTTAAAATGCATGGCCGATTTCATAAACAATTTACATAGACATAAATAGGAAGTATTCAAATAATGAAATATCATAAATGAATTAGACGATGCAAGTTCACCCTAGTCAAGAGATTTGCTTGAGTTTACGCGAGCCTATGCATAAGTCCCGTTTTCTCTCATACAGATGCCGCACCGCCTGGCCCTCAACGAACTTCTTTCGGACTCGGCGGCCACCAGACTGGCCTGGGAAACCTACATCTCCTTACGTAAGTAATTCGAGACACAGTCACCTGAGAATGGGTCATGAAGGTCAGAAACAGAAAAAGGGAGGAAGGGAAGAAGGATAGTGAAAGGGCAAAGGGAAAGGCGCGAGTTGTCTCATTCAGACGTCACAAGGGAATAGGGGTGGGATGGTAGGGTACGCTTGTTTGACGAACAGTTTCGCCTAAATGCTGTGAATCTAACGACACATATTTACGTCGCTGCTCACTCTGATTTTATTATGATTATTCGCCTTACACGCCTCTCTTTAAACCGAGTAAGTGATTAATATACATTCCTTGAAAGAATCAGACTTTAAAAAGGCAAAATAAGGAAATCTTAACAAACCTGGAAGCCAAGTAGCTAGGCTCAGTACAGTTACATCACATGATTTCAGTTATATGCTGCAGATTAACTGCGATAAAACCAATTTACCATAAAGTTGTAAGTCTTTTTTTACTGTTACTGTGATTGTTTATACTAAAGAGCTATACTG